TTTGGGACAACCATGACCTGGAAGACTGAGAATCTCCATAGACTATTTTCCCAGTAGTTCCCCAGGTTCTCCTTTTCTCCTGTTTAAATTTAGGTGCAACAATTGCCCTTCCCCAATTACCTTTTTTAAAGGATTTTTAAGAATTTATCTAAATAATATGTAGCAGATTTTCTAGAGCAACAGCAAGTTTCTTCAGTTCTCTAGATACGCTGCATATAGACTTGGAGATTTAAACTACTCAGGGTAAGTAAATGCTCCATGGCTATTTTCTCTTAGCCTTTAGCGTTTATCTTGATTTTTTATCCTGCTTTATATAACTTTCTATATATGGAATGTATATATCTTGGTTTTTTTAAAAAAGAAACAGCCAAAATAATTATATTACTCTGTTTATTTTATTCTGAATTAATCTAAGGTGGGCATATGTGTTCTTATTGCCTAAACTCTAATCACTAATCTCAATTTATTTTGCATTTTGCTTTCTTGACATGACTGCTACAATTCTACGTATCTATAAGTACTTCTTGCTGACCTTTTCATCTCTTCTAGTTGTCCAGATTTTTCACAGACCATCACATAGAGCCAGAGGAGATTCCTCTGATGCCCTCCATTTTTTTCTCTTTATTGGAATTATTTGCAATTGTGTTTTAGCTTCTTCTTCTTAAGGAACCCTTATCTTTCTTGAGCTCCCCATTATTTTTTGTGTCATAAGAACCTACTTATTGTTTTGAAAGTATAAAAATCTGCTTGCTTTGAAGTACAAGATAGAATTTGACAATGCACAGATTTGGTTTCTTTAAATATTGGGATTCCCAGCATTAACAAAGTCACTTTCCTCCAATATTTTTGCTACTTCCACTAGGTCTTCCCTATTGATTAGTATCAAACAAAGATATTGATTCTCTTGTGCTTCTTCTGCCTCTGATGAAGGAAGTTGCCAAGATGGAAGTTCCTCATCACTACTGCTTCACACCTCTTTGAAAGATCTGCAATTTGTCATTATACACATCTTCTCTTTCTAAGGGGAAGCAATAATAGACAACAACAGTATTATTTTTACTTCTACCACCTCCCTTTCCTTCTGTAGGACATAAATGTTTCTTCTGTTTCAGGGCTTTTCTCTGCAATTCCCACAGAATTCATTTTAAAACCCTCTCCTAATCAAACTCACCGTGCTTTAGCCAAACGTACTTTTACTATTCCTGTGAGGTGCAAACTATTCCATGCCAATTCAACATCATATAGATAATTAAAGCCGCTGTCTCTGAAATCAACTATCTCCTGTCAACAGCAAATACGTATTCAGTGATTTGTTTGCAGTATTCTTTCCCTTTTCAGTCTTTTTTTCATGAAGGGGAAAGGTGGATGAGAAGAAGTCTGTGCTCCCGAGGGAGCTTCTTGGATCGTCAAAACCCATGATTCAGTTATAGGCCGGGTTTTTTTTGTTTGTTTGTTTTTTTAGTATCATTAACATTAAATTATAAAGAAAACACAACCAATGTGATAGTAGAATTCACTGCAAATCTGAAATTTTCAACAAAATTCTTCTAAATTATTTAAATTTAGTAATGTCAGAATGGGCAATCTCTCTTTCTTAGATTTTTTTTATCCTGCCTTTATTGCTTTGTAAGTTGACTCAGGTGGCAAACATACCAATACCCCTTCCTCCTCCTATTTTCCCTATAATAGCAACTCATTGTGGTAGGTTGGGGTGAAAGTGACTGGTCCAAGTCACCCAGCTGGCTTGCTTAACATATTGTAAACAGAAAAGGTGATTATGCAGGAAAGGATAAGAACTCTTCAAGTCCAAGAGTTGCCTGGCAGCAGCAACATATTTTCTAATTGTATAAAATATTTCACGATCATAGTTAATACAAATATTATTGTAATAGAATGTTTTATAAGTGTTTTAGCTGAACAGTTTATGTATTTTATCATATTATAAACAGTTGAATTAATACTTCTTCTAAACTTAGATGTTAGGGTAAGAAAAGTAAATTAAGGGTGAAAATAAAACTGGGTCCTGATTTCTCTCTCCTTCCCCCACCATCCTGCATCTTTTTGGGCAATGTCTACATTGGGAATGGTCCAATGTAAGCACCTGCAAGAAAAAAAGAAGGTACAAATGATGGAGTGAAGAATGTAGGATGTGTCATCCCGGCCTTTCCTAGAATAGCACAAGATCAAAACAAAATTGCTGCTTGCTATAATTATGGTATATTTTATCCTAAAAGCTCCAAAGCAAGATACTATTGCTGAATATGGTCATGCAGATAGTAGCTTCGGCAATTAAATGCAGAAAAAAAATGTATAAGTAGTTTTTGGGTTGCTGAAAACATTCTGCTACTTCTTCTGTAGAGACATAATTTTTTGGAAGAGCAGTTGATCATCTCTGTGTAAAAAGATGGGAAAGAAGTTTTTCCACTGGAAACATCAGTTGAAAGCTTCTCTCCCAAGTAAGCTTAGTTATCTAAAAAAACATTGAAACTTATGATAATATTATTATCTATATTTCAACTGATTGATAACATCATTTTTATTGAAAAAGGTAACATTTCCTGAAAAGTTTTGCATCATAATTAATGTTTTGGTACTGGTAGCAGTATGAGAAAAAAATACCCTGGTCCATTCTGAGTATGTAGTTAAAAACTACATATGCCTTAGAGTAGTTTTCCAAAATCAATTGTTCCCCAAGGAATCCCAAGGAAACATAGTTTCAGGCAGGGGTGAAATCCAGCAGGTTCTGACAGGTTCTGGAGAACTGGTAGCGGAAATTTTGAGCAGTTCAGAGAACCAACAAATACCACCTCTGGCTGTCCCCAGAGTGCGGAAGGAATAGAGATTTTGCAATATCCTTCCCCCAGGAGTGGGGAGAGAATGGAGATTTTGCAGTATCCTTCCCCTGCCATGCCCACCAAGCCACACCATGCCCACCAAGCCATACCCACAGAACTGGTAGTAAAAAAATTTGGATTTCATCACTGGTTTCAGGGCACTTTGAAAAATCTTTTCTAATGCATAGAGGGTGCATTAAAAGATTTATGGGTGAATCAATGTGCCAAAATTTAAAAGGAAAAAAATGTTTATCTGTACGTAATGCAAAATTCATTTACACATGCCAATCTGGTGTTTATATATTTGAAACTGATTTTTAATAACCATATGAGGAAATTGCAATGTGTTATTCCATGGGTCTTTTCAGTAATTTACTGCAAATAAAAACAACAAATCATACAAATGGAGAAAAATCGGTACGGGTTGGATTTAATCTCTAAGAGATTACCAACAATTATTGAGTTCAAGACCTTCCCATTGACTTTTGAATATTTAGGTGATACTGTACATATTCCACATATAAAAGCATTCCCTTTATCATCCTATCTGTACATTCCCTTTGTCTCTTCCCCTCCACCCGCACTTCCAGCAAAGAAGGGATGAACTCTACATGTGGGAAGTAGACCCAAACAGGCAGATGACTCTATAATGGGTTTTTCTTCTGAATTTTGTTGGAACATAAAATAATCTTTCTATTTTGTTAAAAGATGTCTTTTATAAATGCCACTCCATGTCTCTTGATTTGTTTTACTTGTCCCTTTTTATCCTGCTTTAATAGGCTCCCTGATTTTTAATAGGCTTCAGCAATTTCTTTTCTCCCTTCTGCCTATTTTGCTGATTGTGAGACTAGCTTTTCGGTGTCTCTTTTCTTTGATGCAGCGGTTGCTGGGGCTGTTTCTGCACTTCTTAAAACACATTCGAAGCTGATTTGGTTTACTGCACTGAGCTTTTCTGAAAGCTCTTTCTTTTTCCTATGCTCTCAACCCTGTTATCTGAATAGCATCTTAGGTAATTAATCAGCCCACCATTGATCTGAACACAAATTCCCAGCCTTTCATAGGTACTCATTATTGGTTCTGAATGGATGTTACAAATGGCAGGTTGATAGAATGGGTCAAGATTGGATGGGTTACTCATCAGGTATGAATTCTGACTACAAATGCCAGAGAAAGATGAATTCAAAGAATAGTCTAAGAAGGGCTCTTTGTCAGGCTAATAGTTCACCTGTATACACATTCTTGAATGAGGTATGAATCTCTATTCAGACAATGCTGCTGTTTCAGTTTTAATTTGTCCTTTCTTAGTGGTACTATAAAACAGCATGTCAGATTATAACTGCTCTGTAGTGTTTCTTCTCCTCTCTTATCAGTCGCCCACTTGTATTTTTCTTAAAGTATTTTTTTCACAGGCATTTTTCCCCTCTGAATTGTGAAATGTTCTCTTATCTCCATTTCTACAAAAATGAATACATACAGTATTATATTTCCAGTGGCAAGAAGTTCCAGGAACAATCATATTTGCTTTAATGTATTTTTCATCAGAAAACACTGAAAATATATGGTAGCTTCCTTTTAGTGAATGATTCACAAACTGAACACAGTTTCAAACAATAGCTTTCTAGCAATCACTTTCCCTTAAGTTTGCACTTTTGAAAATATTCAAAATACTTTCAGCTCTTATTGTCTTGATCTGATATTTTAAATAGACATTTTAAAACAATTTACAAGAGCATTTGAAGAATTAATCATCAGATAAAAGAGAACAAATGTGAAAGATAAGAGTGCAAATTTCTTGGTGATATAATTGTTTAGTTTGATATATTCAATTAATTCAATTAGTTAGATTAATAAAATAATGAATTTTAAATGTTATGACAATTGCACATTCTCTGTTTATTTACCAACATTTTATTTTCCATCCACTATATCCCTTTTCACTTTTTTCTTTTATGTAATCATTTATTTTACTCTTTGAATAATTTAAAATAAAATAGATTAAATTTAAGAGTGCAGATGTGCTATCTCATCTGCTTTGGTTCACCACTGCAAATATAATTGTGTGTAAGTGATCTTTCAACTTTCTCTATGACCAGAGAAGTTGGCAAGATGGGTGCAGGAGTGGGATGTATGGAGTTGTAACCATTTCATTTTTTTTCTCACTTGCAGAAGGGAAATTCTCTAGCAGTTTCTCAAGAACACACTGTTCGCAGCAGCAATTACACAGCTTTTTGGAAAAATGGAAAATGGCAGGAGCAGCTGTGCTTGCAATCTAGCAATCACTTGGCATATATGCAAACACCAAAATCATGTAGAGTATTTGGAGATAACTCTTTACGATGCTAATCTTTTCCTAGAGGAAAAAGGAAAGACATTTACAATGTTTTTTTTTAATGTAGATTACAAAATATTTGTTTTTGTTATATTCTGATTCTATATTAAAACCAGACCATTTTAAAGCTTACTGTAGATAAATAATTTGAGAAATGAAATTACTTTTTTAAAAATAATATTTTGTCTGATTAGTATATTTAGTAGTGAAAAACCTGAGTTAAAGTTGGAGAACAGGAGTTGTTCAAAGGCAGGAGGAGAAGTTATAGAAGTCTATAAAAGCTTTCTCATTTCTAGGAAGCTAGCTAAGCCTATATTAAAAATATTAAAAGTGATCAGGATATATAATTGGGTAAGCAGTACTTATTCCTATACAGAGTATTTGTTCTTGACCACAAAAGCAAAAGTACTCCAAGGAATAAAGAAAACTATACACATATAAACACAATGAGTAAAACTGAAAAGAAAATGGCCAAGCATGTTAAATTTGATGGTATTGTACTCAGTGGTGGAATTCAAATTTTTTACTACAGGTTCTGTTGGCATGGCTTGGTGGGCATGGTATGGCTTGGTGGCCGTGGCTTGGTGGGCATGGCAGGGGAAGGATACTGCAAAATCTCCATTTCCATCCTACTCCATGGGAAGGATACTGAAAAATCCCCATTCCCTCTGGGGGAAGGATATTGCAAAATTTCCATTCCCACCCCACTCTGGGGCCAGCTAGAGATGGTATTTGCCGGTTCTCCAAACTACTCAAAATTTCCACTACCGGTTCTCCATAAACTGTCAGAACCTGCTGGATTTCACCCCTGGCTGTACTGCAATCACTCATATTTAACATAAAAAGCTATTCACACATTCTTCTTTCAATTCATTCCCTCAAACATGCAATGAGCTGTTATGATGTATAGGCCATTCTTCTGAAGAAAAGTGATTTCAAGGACTAAAGAGGAAGATTCAGTATTGACAAGACACCAATGAAATAGCACCGCACATGGATTTCAATTTTCCTTGTCTATAAAAGCCACTGTTTTGAATTCTTTGCTATATTTACCTGGCAATTATTTTTAAGTGCCATCATTCCACCCCATACACCTTAATTTTCTTCAGACACAGAAGCAGCTGGTAAATATGTTAAGCTTACTTAACATTTGATAGAATTATAATTCTATAGATAAATACCTGTAATATCAAATATTCCAAAGGCAGGAATTACTTAGTACAACTTATTGCATTCAGGTTTTAACAAATAACTTGATCTAGATAAATGAACAAGCATTGCTATAATACCTATAGGCTTCCCAATACCCTTTCCATCCATGTAGAAATCCCGCCTTCATTTGCAGCACTTATATAATGAAAGTCAATGCTCCTGTTGCCAAAATGGCACTACTCAGCTGAGTAAAAGAGATGTGGGCTTGGAAAGCCACCAAGTATCACAGAAATATATACTCTTTTTGGTTTTTTGTTGTTGTTGTTTTGCTTTTTTAAGAAAAGAAAACAATCCTAAGGGAAGGGCAGAGACCATAGAATATTAGCTGAATGTTAGGATGGTGGGCGGGAGAAGATCGAAACCCATTTCCCCTGATTGGAAGGGGAAATGGAGCAGAGAATAATCAACCGAAACAGTAAACTGCAGTATTTCATACTGCAACATTTTGTTCCTGCTAGAATGTTTCCTACCTATTATCTAGATTATATTCAGTCATAAAATACATGCTAGCAGTTTTTCTGGCAACAGTCTCACTGCAATCAGTTGGTAGTATTATTTCTGAGAATCATTAATTCCTTGTTGATGGAGAATATTTGCAAACACTCTCCCATCCCTACCACAGAATTCAGCTATTGTTCCCAGGAGAGTATAATGAATAACGCTATTTGGGAAGATCAGGGTTTTTAGAAACAGAAACCAATGAAGCCAGAAGGATTACTTCAAATTCCTTAATAATCAGGGGCATGTCTTTTGTTATGGAAATTATAGGTAAATGGATAAGAGAAGCTAGGGAACAGCTGGACACACATCTGGAAGATGACAGCAAATAAAAGAATTCTCTCCCCACCCCCACTCCTTTCTAAAGAGGAAATAAGCAAGATCTGCATGTATGAAAGAAGCAAAGGTAGCAGTTTGAAATACAACGTAAAAAGAGACATAGGGTAACTAGGAAAACAAAGAATACACTATTTAGGCACTATGGGATGCTTTTATATGTGGTTGTACTGGAAGATCTGTAGAATTGAGTTAAATATGACCATAGCAATATAGCTGAGGACTATAAACCTGTGTGTGTGTGTGTGTGTGTGTGTGTGTGTGTGTGCGCGCGCTTTAAAAAAAAGACTCAAATTGATTTAAACTGAAGAGGCGATATGGTACAGGTTATGTAACAAGTATACTGAGGTTTTTCTCCAGTTCTTGCAGCAATGACTTTATTTTATTTATTTGGAAATTTTATATTGCTGCCTATTCCCTCAAGGCAGCTTACAGAAATAAAAACACAATGTAAAAGAAATAAAATTAATAAAATAATAACCTCCCACCCCACCCCCACCTCCATGGGCTATTCTCTTATTAACTTTATCAAATTTATACAGTCGCCCATCTCATAAAAAGTGTTTGTTTTTTATTTGGGGAGGGGATGGCTTTTGGGCTAGTCTGTGAGCTGGTCTTCACCTTGCTGTGTTAAGGATGGGAAAAAATGCATCCTGACACGGTAGTGAACAAGTTGTAAGTCGGCAACCTCCAGCATCTATCCACAGGTCCTTTTATCCTTCTTGCCACTCTTGATGCCAAGAGTGGCATCAAAACCCCTGGCATTTCAGCTGCTGATCAGCAATAATATGTAGACACTGATAAAGACCATACCAGCAATGTGAACAGTAGCCTGCTTCCCTCGCACTTCTCTCTGAACAAACACACCTATCAAGGGTTTGTCTCTGTAGATCTTTTATAGTTGCAACTGACCTTCTAGATCAGGGGTCTGCAACTTAAAATACTCAAAGAGCCATTTGGACCCATTTTCCACAGAAAAGAAAACACCAGGAGCCGCAAAACCCTTCCCGTGCCTCACTATTTCTTGAGCAGCCACAGAACTAGCATATGTAGTTGAATTAAACTTTCTGTTTTCTTTTGAAACTTTTCTTTTCTTGGATTTATCCATGGTTGGCCTATCGGGGTTGAAAAGCTCAATAAATTGTGTGCCGGTGGGTATCACACATTGGCGGTTGTGATGCATATTTTGAGTAACGGAGCCGCAGCAGAGGGGTGAAAGAGCCACATGCGGCTCCAGAGCTACAGGTTGCTGACCCCTGTTCTAGATCATTGCTTATGTTCAGGTGTAACCATTGAGAAGACCTTTCTTTTGCCTCAGTTAAATGTGTCTCTGCCACAGTTGTAACATGGAGAAAAGGTCTTCCCTCCTATGAAGTTCATTTGTAAATAAATTGAAAAATTACAGAACACAATAAATTCTGAAGCTGAGAAAGAACATTACAATGAATTGCTATTGATGCCATTCCATTTGGGGTAGGATCAAGTAATTTATTTAGTAGTCACTAAATAAATAATAAATGTTGATTCTAAATGAAGCTTCTTGTTTATTACTTTTCAAAAATTATTATTTCAAACCATCTTGGGGAAATAGGCAGTCAAATAATGAGGATATATGTTCTAAATATAAGATTAACAATTAATCATTTATAGTAACACTTGTTATTTATACTATAAAAAAATTAAACATCAGAAAGGAAAAGTATGAAATCGCCTCAGGTTCTAATCTATTAGATCCAATAATACATTTTATGCCAGATTTTGACATGATAATGTGAGATTCTGGTAACATTACATTAAGTTTAAATGAATCATTATTTTCTGGATTGAATGATGTTATCAATTTCAGGTGGCTGAAGTGACAGATTGGATGTCAGATTTCACCAAGAAAAATTGATATTGATGCATCCATCAGAATTTTGAATGGGCAGTTTTGCTTCACTTCTCAGTTAGAAAGTCAGTTCTTGGAATGTTGGGTCTGAAGTTGCATGAATAGCTGCTGGTTACAAAATTCATTTCAGTATTGAGCTGGGCAAAAAAACTTCCATGAATCCAGCAGCTGCAAAATGCAGAACTGGAGCACAGGAGATTGGCTATATAGCAGTTAAAAATCTGGCTTTTAAACAATTTCTAAATGGATTCTATAAATAATTTTTGTTAGCTCTGCAAGAGCTGTTCTGGCTAACGGGTGGAATAAAAGTCCAATAAATAAAAGAAAGGACTAAAATGAAACAATAACATATAATAAAATAAAATATTTTAAACATCTTGCCTTTAAGCTCCACTTTGCTTCCTATGCAAAACAATTTAGAAGCCATGATTTCTTAGCAAAATGAACTTGATTTTAATCACCAACCTATTTCACAGGGTTATTGGGGGAAAATAAGAGGAGGAAGGAGTATTAGAAATAGATCAAATGTTAAACCAGTTTTGAGGATTAAATCCTGTTTTATTTTTCTTGACCCTCCTTTTTTTTCTTCCTAGTGTTTTTCCCACAGGTGTGGGGTCCTCTCTTTTGGATCAACTGAACGTTGATCCATTGGTATGATAGGAATAGGTCAACTGGTTTTTTGCCTGAGTTGATATCATGGACTGAGAAAAAAAAAATGACTGGTCTAAAGTGTGAGTAGGAGCTCACAGTGTCGTGGTCTCTTGGTATTTTTTGAAACATAGATAATTGCTTGTCTTATTGTATTGAATTATCATTTTACACTTGTCTCTTTTCTCATTATATCTCTCTCTTTTTTATTGTATTAAAGTAATACAATAAAAAAATAAAGTAAAAAAAAATGCAGTAGCTTCCCAGTTTTGCACTTCTTGATTGCCAAAATACAAACTTGTAAACATTCTTGCTCTTGAGACACTCATGGGCCTTTGTGTGTGTGTGTGTGTGTGTGTGTGTGTGTGTGTGTGTATCAAGAAAAAGAGAACCTGAATTTAAAAAGGTAATCTGATTTCATTTCCCAAGTATGAGTTCTGTTTGAAGGACTGCTTGTTTAACAGAATGCTTGAAAAGTTACAGAGAAACATTATTTCCTGAATGATTTATGAAGCCTAAACTGCAAGATTATTTAAGCAAAGAAAATCATATTTAGAAAGAGCTGAGTGACATAATGGACAATTTTTAA